ATCTTGAGAGCGATTCGCGTGCGGAAGACGCTGTCGGTACCAGGTCAGGATCGATCCAATGCTGGCCGCGCTCCTCGCAGGCTCTGCGGCCTCTTTGATCGTAGGGCCGAGATTTACTCTGCGTGCGGCTTGCAGCGTGCGTCTCAAAGGGCGGTTTGATCCGTGGCACGGTAACGGATTTGTTCTCTGGGTGCTGCTTGCTGGATCGCGGCAGCTGCTGTCCTCGCCCGTGGGTTTCCCCGCTATTGCGGGTCTGTTGAACGTGCCCGATGGCCTGAATCCTCCTCTCCTGGTAGTGATTCTGGAAACATGAGTATGATGATTCCCCTTGAACATACGTATATTTGTCTGGGAAGGATGGAGCGATGCAGCAAAGTACTTCCAGTCTCGCAAACACTAGCTCATGTCTACGCACCCAAGCTACTTTTAAGCTCACCAGCTTCTTTGAGCTCGCCGGCTTGCATAATGCTAGCAGAGTAGCAACGGCCACCTGCAATCCAGTATGATCTGCCAGATCCACCCAAAAAGCGGGGTAAATGCACAGGCAAGTGGTCCAGGTAGGCAGCGCTGTGCCACCTGGTAGCCGTACCCAAGCTGGCTCCTCTAAAGCTGCTGGGGGCACGCATTCATGAGCCGGTGTCCTTGTAGTATAGGCAATCCTGATGCATTTCTGAGACCTCATTAAACAGAGTTCTTGTGCGTGGCTTGGAAATGCCTGTTTATTCCAGGCTGCTTCTGCTCTCCAAGCGAGATTTGGACAAAGCCATGTCAGCATAAAGATCAGTTGCGTCTAGCCTTAGTAACTAGATAGATATGCTAATGGTGATCTTCTGTACAAGGAAGAAAAAGCCTGAACCATCTCTTGATCAGTGCTGGGAATGTTAACGCTGGAATTTTCCGCCCCTGTTTAGCTTGCTCTCCTTGTCTGTCCTCGCTGTGTTGGCGTTGGAGGGTGCAAAACCTTGCATAACAGCGGCTTTTACAAATCAAGGCGTCCTTTTCTGAAAAAGCTGTTGCCGCTGGGATGTTCTGTTCGCTTCCTGTTTCACTGAATGGTTGTCTGCCTGGTTGGAAGGCCGTCATTAAAGGTATCTTGCTGCCACTCGTAGGAGAGCAGAACGCTGCCCTGGCATTGTTTCCTTTCAATCCCTTCAGAAAAGCAAATCAAATGTTACGGGGGTGCTGCTGTTGATTAGCTAGACCAGAATGTCAGGGCTAAGATCATGCCTCTTGTGTTGGCTTCCTACAATCTTTTCAAGAAATGTATGTGCTACTGCTGCCTGGTTCTTAATTGGACCTCGTTAAAGGCTTTAGAGCCGGCACAGGAGAAGCAGCCAAGTGTTCAAAGAGAATGTCTTGCCTTGTGAAATAGGGAATGTTTCTGCCGAATCTATTTTTGTATTTCATATGGAAAAGTTATCGGCCAACGATGGAAATAGCATCCTTTTTTCTCCTCGGCTGTATTGTGGCAATTCAGTGCAGCTTTCTACCTAAATAAACACGTTTGCTTGCACTGCAGTGATTTTTTTTTTTTTTTCCTTCTCCAGATTATGCTATGCATTATTGTCGGCAATAATGTGTTTGTTTTTTTTCTGAACAAAGAAGGTTTGGGGGCTTCTGATTTAATCTCTGAAATAAAGCCCCCTCTGTCTCCCTGCTTCTTGCATCTCCTCAGTTACTAAAATTTATCTGGCTTTCATTTTTGTTGCATCAACACCTTGAGCCCCGCATGTTGGAGAATGAAAGCTGACACACTGCTGCAGTCGTCCGTCCCTTGGAGCCCTCCCCTGCCCATGCCAGTCAGTCGGTGTGTTGGCTGCATGACATAAGGTCACTTGCAGCTTCTTTTGGGATTTACTGCAAATCGCTGGTTCTCAGTGGGAGTATGCTTTTTCTGTTTCAAAACTGGATCGATGAAACCTCAGGTGCTTGCTGTAGATTGATTGCAAACCTGCATTTTATTCCATGGCCAGCTAAAAGCACTCTGTGTGTATCTCATCTCTCTGACTTGCGATGTAAGCTGTGCATTGTAGGGCGACTAGCAAGAAATTAAAAAAAAATTAACAGGGGCTTGCCTTAATTGAATTAACTTCTTCGGTGATTGCAGATTACATAGAGTTTAGTCATTTTAAATATGTTAATCTTTCCTGAAAAGACAGCTTTGTGCAGAGGGATTAAATGCAGCTACAGTAAAATATATATATCATATTCTGATTCCCTTTAGTGTCTTTGATCTTACTTCATGTCAGGTGACTTCCAGCATTTCTAATGCCTCCAGAGCTAAATTACTATATCTGGGTCAGATTGTCAGCTAAAGTGGCACAAACTGCCTGAATTAAGGCAGTCTACAATACAGATGCTGTATGCTCAAAAATACAGCAAATGTTCAGTGCTCTTGTCCTTGTCAGCTTCATACGTTACACCTCCTTTCATCGCTGTGCTACATCGTCGGTCCTGGCTGGGGCAGGCAGGAGGAACTGCATGTCAGTGGGAATTTAATAGAAGTGCTACCCTTTCCGATTTCATTGTAGGTGTTTATACTACAACATCTATTGGAAAGGAAACCTGGAGGGCATCGACAGAGCGACATAAAAAGCAAAGCAGGAAATGGCTTGCTGTAGCATGTAATGGATGGGTTGGGAGAGAGTGGCTGTATCTTTTTCCTTTCCTTTGTATTGAGTGCGCTGCATAGAATGACCACAAAGATCAAGTAAAACTTAAATAGATGGGAACAACTCAATTCCCAGTTAGAAAACTTCCTTTCTAAAGCACTGATCTCCATAAGTGTTCAACAGTAACTGCGGCCTTCCCTGCACCAGGGAATTTGACCATTCAACAGCTGGGTTAGTTGACGGGTTGGTGTGGGCACTGCCACGTATTTGCGTTCCTCTGTCCGCTCTCTCTAAAACCAGAGGCTTGTACAACAGGTTGGCTTGATGCTGATCCCAACCTGGCTGCGATCAGCTGGCTTTATTGTCTTCATAAAGTGGGACTCTCAGGTTTAGGAGGCTTTCCAGTGACCAGCCACAAGCCCAAAGAAACCTTCTCTTGTGCTCATCCCCACTGCCTTTGTTTCCCTTCATGTCCCCATGCTTGTTCCAATTGTGGCTGCTTCTGTGGCGGAAGGATGGCTCAATAGTGAGGGGCCTATCCTGGGACTTGAAAGACCTTGGCTTAGTTTCCTGCTCTGCCGCAGACTAGGTTTAACCTTGGGCTGCTTTACCCTTTGTGGCCTTAGATCCTTACCTGTAAAAGAGCATTTTCTGACCTCTCAGGATGAAGGCAAGTACATCGGTTTTGCAGCACACAGGTATTGTGGTGTTGGAAACCATTTAATCATCCACTGCAGGAAGGCTTCTTCACAGAGCAGGATCCAAATACAGTTGTGTTCATGTCATGGATCTTGTGCTTGAGTTCATCAAGCAGCAACATACAGTGGCGAGTTTCATGTCTCCTTTAGATGATCTGAATGATCCTTCTAAAAATTATAAATGATTCTAATAACATTTAGTATTTCTTAGCACTTCATGCTCAGAGCACCACATACCTCAGCAGTTCCCAAGCTAGGAGTTGCCGCATCTGAAGAGGGGTTCAGCCCCACAAAAATTCAATTATAGCAGGGATGCGGTCACTGTGGAAAAGACTGGGACCTGCTTGTGTAGAGCTATTAAGTAATTGATTGTGGTGCTGCTGAATTGTGGCCAAATAGCTTTCTGAAAGTGCCACCAGACACCAAGGAGAACTCTGCACCCTGTTTCTGCTGTGCTCAGCAAGGAATCATCTCGGGCATGTTCCACATGCTTGCACATGCCAAACCCAGCAAAGCAGCAGCAAAGCCACTCGACTGCTTGGGGGATATGGTCTAGAAATACTTTAAGAGTGATATTGTCAAGTCTAGATTGGATGAAAAGGAGATGAGTTGTCCCAAGGGAACAGTTTCACTGGCAAAGCTGTGAGTAGCTGGGGAAAGCAGTCGGTAGCTGGATATCGATGACCTGATTCTTTTCAGTCTCATTGCTGCCAAGAGGGCTTTGAATAGCTGCAGTGAAAATGGACTGCTCTGGTTGGTTTTTCAGGTTGAAAAAACTGAACAGCAGAGGCACTGGAGCTGTCTGCAGGCATGGGAACACAACACTGCATCAGTCCTTGACTGGAGGATTTTTTTCACAGTTCTTGGATGAACACTTAACTTTAAAGCTGCTGCTGATGCTTGTTCTTTACCCGTGTTTTCCTTCCCTCCTCAACAAAGACTGGCCAGAAGAAATTCCCTGCTTTCCAGCATGCCAGGGTTTTCCCCAAGCTCAGGCTTAATGCTTAGCAGAGGACTCTGTATTAACTGGATGACTGAATACTCCAGTGGTTTTCTGCAATGGGGGGGAGGGAATAGAGAGAAGAGGAGATGTTACTATACATGCCCAGAGCTAAAGCATTGTGCACATGCGAAAATCAATAAATCTTGATGAAAGCAGCATGAGCTTGGAGCTGGGTGGAGAACATTTTGTTAGCAGTGCAGTGAGCGGGGGACTGCTCCTTACTTTGAAGAGGCAGTTGAAGCTTTGGGTAGTTTGGCTTGATGGGCACTGTCAGTATTGAGGGGTTGGACAGGGCTTAACTTCTGTGGGAAGCAAAATGAATTGGCTGATGGCAACATGCTCCATGCCTCTGGTGTCTCAGACTCTGCCTCCCCCCAGTCTCCTGACTGCCATAGGCAGAAAGGACTGGAGATGTTTTGTGGCTGGAAGTCAGGAGCCTTCTGCTGGCCGCTGCTGAGAACTGCTGACAGTTTTGTTCTGTTTTTTCTGTCTGTAAAGTTGCGGTAGCAGCAGGCTTTCCACTGTTCACTGCCAATGGTTGAAGTCAAACTAAGGAGGATGGTGTTTTATGGAAGTGCTCAGGAGGCCCCTAGGACGGCTGTACCCAAGCTGTCTGCTGCCTTAAATATTCCTCTTTTTGTCCAGAAAAGACCACGTTGCCTGAATGCATTGCAGGGCATTGATCTCTTTTTGCTGGGGATCTGGCTGCAATCGCAGCCTGGGAGATGCTCGCAGTAAGGAAGGGGCTAGGACAGGGGTGGGCAAAATGCGGCCCGGGGGCCTGATGCAGCCCACCAGGCCATTCTATCCGGCCCGTGGGGCCCCTAAAAATTTTAGAAAATTAATCTGGGCTGCCTGTCATGTGGCCCTCGGTGGCTTGCCAAAACTCAGTAAGCGACTCTCTGCCCAAAATAATTGCCCGCCCCTGGGCTAGGAACTGCGTAGTCAAATATAGTGAAAAGATGGCCCTTTACTTAGTTTAAAGGAAACCGAGAGAGGGTCCAGGCCTTTCTTGGCTGTGGATTCGCTGGTTTGATTTCTTTTGGGAGAACCCCATGGTAAATTTGCCCTGAAGAGGAATATGTGGGATTCATTCAAAGACACGTCTGCACTTCCTAGCAAGGGTATAGCAGCAGCACTGTGCAGTTGTGCCCCTTGGTATGGGCATGCCTCTGCTTAGCCGAGCTCTGCCAGCTGCCTGAAAGAACAGCAGATTTTCCAGAATAGCTGTACCCTCACTGGGTTTTCGTTGGCTGAGTGGTCTTGGCAAAGGTGCACGATCACATCTCAGTGACGTGGATGTACCACTAGAGCTCTTCCGTGCTAAACAAGGACCGAGCAAATCCTGTGCCCGAGGGGGAAGCACGGCCCTGAACTCTGTGGGCATAGTGGATGGGGTTAAGTTTAAACAGACAAAACACCCCATTTCCTGCTGCTGCCACAGCTGGATTCTTTCTACATACAACCTGATAGTGTGAAAATGGAGGGGAGACTTGAGATCTTTTTTTTTTTTTTTTTTTTTTCCTTAAAAACATTTTATTAGAAAACCAGACCGTAACAAAAGACTCAAAACGACCCCCAACAGAGGCCTCACAAAAGGATAATACAACATTCCAAATAACATACTAAAAAAAACACATCGGAATTGGTATCACATTGCACGTCATCTCATTTTTTACACAGTATATGCAAACATCCCTGAGTAGTGTCTATCGAACACACATTACACGTATCGTGTTAGACATCCTGTACTTTCCCGGAGAAAGAAAAGCGAG